TATCAATATTAAACTTCCTTAATTTGATAACTGTACTGTGGTTACTTAAGAGAATATCCTTATTTTTAGGAAATACTTAAAGTATTAAGAGATAAAAGGACATGATATATGTCACTCATCCAGAAAAAGAAATAATATGTACCAAAAAAACACCGTGCATTTTCCTGAGCATTCACTGACACTTGTACTGTTTGGTTAATTCAGCTAGGAGGAACAGTTTGTGCTAAATGTGCTACGTCAATCTTTCCGGATTTTTACCAGCTTTCCTAAAACTCTCACACAAAACTGAAAGGATAATTCTGATTTTCTTAACTATAAGCTCACTAGCTTCTAATTCCAACAAATAACCTATCTGGCTCTTATTATGGTTAACTGCTTAAATTATACATGACTTTTTCTAAAAGCATTACGTACCCTTTACAGAATTTCTGTGTACTAAGCCAATATGATGAATTCCTGGTTAGCAGTGACTGGCCTTTCTCCTTCAGGACTCCCTGGAGGCTGTGTCCATGGAAACAAGTTCTATCAGTGTCTTCTTCAGTCCAGTTGAACTGAAAACTTGAGGGGCGTTTTTTTTCAACAGTTGGTGTCAAATCAACCAGTGTGCTAAATTGTTTTTGTAGATTCACCACCATGTCTGGAAATGGAGGAAAAAAGGAAAGGAATAAAATAAAAACTAATGTTAAATCACAACTAAAGCCTGGAGTTTACTTGATAGGAAGGTACCAATGTTGGTTTTGACAAATGTACTATGGTAATGTAAGAGGATAACGTTAGGGGAAATTAAAACTGGATGAGGGGAATGGAGGAACTACTTTAAAATGGTTAAAATGGTAATTCTATACCACGTATATTTTACCACTATCTATTTTTTTATTTTACTTATTTATTTTTAGAGACAGGGTCTCACTCTGTTGCCCAGGCTGGAGTGCAGTGGTGCAATCATAGCTCACTGCAGCCTCAAACTCCTTGCCTCAAGCAATCCTTTTGCCTCAGCCTCTCAAGTAGCCGGGACTACAGGTGCACACCACCACACCCAGCAAATGTTTCTTATTTTTTGTAGAGATGGAGTATTGCTATGTTACCCAGGCTGGTTTTGAACTCCTGGCCTCAAGTGATGCTCCTGCCTCAGCCTCCCGCAGTGTTGGGATTACAGGCATAAGCCACTGTGTCTGGCCACAATTGAAAAAAAAAAAGAATATACAATCTAATGGCAATTCTACAAAGAATTCTAAAAGTCACAGAAATGTAGGGTTTTAGAATTTGGTAGGAACTTTAGCTCTGTTTTGAGCAATGGCATGTTCCTGAAACAGATTCCTGTGGAGATTCCTTGCACAGGATGATGTTCCTTTGGATGTATATGCGCACTGAAACATTTGTTTAAAAAAGTAAAAAAATTTACTTTATGAACTCACTGTTCAAGTCCAGATATTTAGCTTTTCTACAACTGTGTTGTTCCTTCGTATTAACAAGGGGAAATTCAACTCACCTCTTCTTTTATATACTACTGGTTTGTCGATGAATGAGTAGTAGAGTGGCTTTTCACTTTTCCACATGTACCTGTACATGGCAGAAAAACTGTTGGAGCAGGATGGAGACAAAATGGACCTAAACACATTTCGGAGAACAGTTCCTCTGAAGCAATATCTGAAATTCCTGAGAGTCAGTGTAATAGTTCTGGCTCAGAAGGGCCTACTGGCGCATGTCTACACTGTCTCCTAAGCTTACGTCCTGGAAGGAAGCACTGACTGAGAGAGCAGGCCAGCAGAATGGTGTGCTCCTCCTCAAAGCCTCCCAGATGCTGAGTGGTCTTGGAGAAGCTATTAATAATACAAAAAGTGCAGAAATGGTTTGCCTCACCATAAATTTCCCTTGTTGCTCTTTCTCATAAAGTGCAGCCACCTAAGAAACAACTGCTCCTCCTTGCCTTTGCCCCACTTGCCTTCTTGCTGAGGATTAAGTCACGGTACTTCTGATTCTGACTACTCATACACAGTGAACAGTAAGTGCCCTCTCTCTGGCACTGGACACCAGGAAATCCATCCTATTCCTGTTGTACATGAGGAGGAAAGATCTGGATTCCAGGATGACACAGTCCTAACAATCCCTGCATTGACTCAACCTATTCTTGTCTAGGGAAGGGCAGCTAGGGAGGTTCTGCAAAATGGAGATCCTGCATTGATCTGGCCCTTGGGGTTCCCTCCAGGACAAAGACTAAGAGTCATCTGGGTTCCTGCGGATCAGGGGTGACCAGTCTGGACTCAGGCCCAAGAGAAGTGACATGTCCTATTTCTGGTTCTAGTGGCCATTGCTCAACTTTGCCAGACAGACACTACTGCTCTGGAACAAAGATAATAATGTTCATTTTTAGACTTATTTTAATTACTTTTGAGTTCCCTAAAGTAGAAGACTTTCGTAATTTACAACAAAAAATGAATCTACCTTCTTCTTGATCCCAGGCCATTTTCTCGTTTTGAGAGGCACTGTGGCAACAGGAAAGGGTATTGAATCAGAGGGCCTGGCTCTGCTACTTTCTAGTGGTATGACCTTGAGTGATAACTTATGGAGGTTCTCAAAGGCAAAGACTGTCTCAGTTGTTTTTATGTCCCTAGTGTTGGCAGGGAATGGCATATAGTAGGCACTCATTTAAACATTTGTTGAAGGATGAATGGATGAATAGATGAATGAAAAAATGAATTGAGCATCTCTGAACTTGTCTTCGACTTTCACAGGGCTGTTGTAAGGAATAATTAAGATAATATACATACAGTTTCTTTAAATCTTATACGATAATCAGAAGTAATTATTATCTACTGCTTGACAAATTGCCTGCCTAGTGGATACTC